TAATATTCTAAGATAATAATTAATAAATAATAAATAATAAAATAATAAACTAATAATTAATTCGTTCTATAACAGTGGTAATGGCATCTGGCACTGAACAAGAATTTATTATCAAATAGAATGAATTTTTAAACCATTATGCAAATAAACCTGAAGCCTTAAAATATCTTTAAGAAACCTGGATTCCCTATAAGGAGCATTTCATTTCAGCATGGACTAATCGTTACTTGCATTTCAGTAACACAGTGACCTCACAAGTGGAAGCAGCATATGCTGTTCTCAAAAAGTGTTTGCAGTCATCTACAGATAGGAAAGATTAATTAGAGTCTATAAATTATAATTATTGGTCTACAATTGCCAAAATGTTTAATATAATTAGCATATATGTTAAATTAAAAAAAAAAAAAAAAAAAACTTCGAATTCATTCTGGAAATATTTTTTACATTCATAGGTGATCTTGAGTCAGTGCATTATAAGATTATACTACAAATAGAATTACAATTTCTTCTCAATATATAAGAATATAATATACATATCAGATTTCTCTCTTTAAATCTCTCTTATACCATGTTTCCACCTTCGCATTGAATAAAATCCATGATAAGCTGATTAAAGTGTTGAATGCAACTTTAGACTTACTTCTAAAACCTTGTACAGAAACTTTCAGATCCATGATGGGGCTTCCTTATTTACATATAATTAATGAACATCTATTAGCTAATTTTGGTATTAAAGAAAGTTGATATTAATGAACACTGGTAGATCCAAGGCTGACGTATAGAATTTTTGGAGCCCACATACCCTCTCAATAATAATCATAGCAATTTCTAGTCTCTCCTGCAATCTCTCATACACATGTACCAATTTTGGCCAACACACCAATGAATTACTATCTAGTTCCAATTAGAAAAATTGGTAAATACCTCATCTGTCATACTAGAAGAACCTGTTACTAGTAAGCCATGGGGAAGACTAGTAGGCGCAAAAAAACCAAAGGACAATACAGAGAAATTCGTCTACATTCGAAAATATTAAAAAACGGGCAAGACAATATGATACATGTTATCAAACAGATTATAACAGTCGCACTTGCCTTAAACTGTGATTATTTTGCTTTTACATAAAAAATTTTTTGTCTTGTTAGTGTATATATATATACTTTTTAGAGAACTAACACTTATTACGTAAATATAGCCCCTTTGGAAAATGTCAATTAACTTTTCTAGGGTACCCAGAGTCAGTTATTTGACAATTACAAATTTTAAAAAAATTAATATAGATCTTGACCCCTTGTATACTTTTATATGTCTCTTGTATATTTTTATATGTCTCTTGTATATTTTTATGCACCCTTGCATAATTGTGCATATTTATGTATACTTATGCATAATTATGCAAGGGTGCATAAAAATATGCAAGAGGTATATAAAAATATACAAGAGATATATAAAAGTATACAAGGGTCAAGATCTATATTAATTTTTTTAAAATTAGTAATTGTCAAATGACTGACTCTGGGTATCCTAGAAAAGTCAATTGATATTTCCCAGAGGGGGCTATATTTATGTAATAAGTATTAGTCCCTTTATCTAAAGCATTTTTTTTCACTAACTCTGTGAGAGCTTCTAGGCTATTTTGGCTATCGCAGCATATTAATAGAATTTTTTATTGCTTGTTGCTATAGACAAAAAAGTGTATTGAATATGTAAAGTGCATATGAATTAATCAATGAAATAGAATTATCAAATTCAATTTTATCATTTATAATTATAATGGTAATATTGAAACTATTAGATTATCATTTAACCCATTATTAGCCAGGGTGGCATTTGTCTAATTACCCATGAGAAAACGAAAAGAACTTTATATAAAAAAAAAGCCTACAAACTTATAAATGCACAAATTTGTTACATTTTAAAAATGAATAAATAATGCAAAAATTGATATCTATTACTAATAAATTTAAGTACAAATATGATCAAAAACTCAATATGCAAATAAATTATTAACGAAGTTGTCTTTTATTTTTATTTATTTATTTATTTATTTTTTTTTTTATTAATATAATGTCATAGTAGAAACTTTATTACAATAAACCTATATTAATCTAGAGATTAAT